CTTTCCCTAAGATGGTACATTCAGACCTGAAAAAACCAACATTATTGCTATAGGATGATGTTCTGCAGCTTTAAACCCTTCCGAAAAGCTACAGCTCATCCCTGAGGTTTGTTATCAGTTGTATGAGCTTTGCCAAACGCTCCCTCCCCACGAGACGATGGGAATATCCATTCATTATTCCTTATCAAACAGTTCTTCTGTTCCTCCCTTCGGAACTGAGAGAAGACATTTTGACCTCCAACTATTTAGAATTCTCTTGCTTGTCCTTTTACGCTCCGTAAGAGCATTTGTGGGATATTTGTAATAAATCCTGGAAGTCAGACAGCCCTGACCACTGCTCTGGTGCCAGCTCCTGCTGCCTGTTGCCTTCAGTGGCTCGTGCCTGGGAGATGACGTCTTCTCCAAGAACTGGTGCATTACTCACCCCTAGAAAGAGATTTGGGAGTCCCAAACCTCCTGTTCTTCTTCACCTCAGCATCTCAGCAGTTTAGGTTTAGAGATTCAGTTTGAGTTTCTGCAATTAATCACTCGCAGCTTCAGTTTAATGCAGGAATCCACCAACACGCGACACTTCAGTGGAGGGAAAGCAGATACTGCAGATCTGCTTTAAAAAATCCATTTAAGTCAGCAAATGAGTTAATCCGGATTAGCTTTCTGCACAGAAAGTGCATTAATAACGCTTGTGGAGCAGCTGAGGGCTGACCAGAGCCAGGACAGCATCAAACAGAGAGGCTAATCCAGATGACATGCTCCGAGGGCAGTGGCTTTAGGGAGACAGCTCATGTTGGATGGAGTGTAACAGCGAAGCCCCCAATGGGCAACAGAATAAATTACAGAGCACTCAGTGTCTTTGGAGCAATATTTGGGCCTATTTCAGGCATTTCCAGCCAGCCTTAAAGCTCACAGGTTGAAGGCGGCTGCAAGAACTGAGGGGAAATACACACAGATTGGGGAGTCATTAATAAGCACTTTGCGAACACTTCAAAGCAAGCTACGAACAGTGAGGACTTTCAGCCTTTAGGAGGACAAGGAAGTCTAAAGAGCTCCATGGCTTCACCAGAGCTTCCTGCAGTGTCTCCTGGAATGCTCTCTACTGCGCTGGTTGCTTCATGAATTATTAGTGGGAATGAAACCATTTACACCTCCTGGCTTTGGGATCGCAGGGCTTACCCTGTGGTTATTCACCTTCAGAGGTATGACACTGGCTCCCTGAAGAACGGCCTCCCAGAGGGATGAGACCAGGGACAAAGCCCTGGGGATGGAAGTCTTGTCCTGTGTGACTGTCCACCTGCAGAGCAGGCTGAGGCAGCACAGTGCTGCTGCACTACAAGCAAGTTCTACTGCAGTATCAATTCAAGGCCAGGTTGGACACAGGGGCTTGGAGCAACCTGCTCTAGTGCAAGGTGTCCCTGCCCGTGGCAGGGGGTTGGGACCGGATGAGCTTTAAGTCCCTTCCAACACAAACCATTCCATGATGCTATGAAAACCAGAAAGCCAAGATCCCACCCCAGCTCCACTGACGTTTCCTAGGAGCAATAAGCCAATAACCACAACAAGCAGCTACGGAATCCCCGTCCCCGTGCAAAGCACTTGTGTTGGCAGAGCTGAGTGTTACTCTGCCGCAGTGACAGGCGTGTGCAGCACTGCTGGATCCCGAGGGATGCAGCACAACCCCCTGGGCTGCAGTGTCCAGTGGCAAACCAGGCTGAGCAGAGCTTCCCAGCAGGTACTTACTGTGTGAGAAGCGCTGTGTGATGGGGGTGCCGGGGTAGGGGTAAGTGCGACTCTCCCACTGAATGTTTCCCTCTTGCACTGCTTTGATGAAGCCGTAATAACACTGATGGGCCACGCCTGGGGAGAAACGAGACATCAGCAAAATTGGGACACATTAGGAACAAACTGCACAAGCAGCCTGACAGCAACTAGAAAGAGCTCCTGTATTTAGACAGCCTGAGAAAGCTGGGCTGGGGCAGCTGGAGAAGAGAAGGCTCCTGAAGGGGACACCTTAGAGCAGCTCCAGTGCCTAAAGGGGCTCCAGGAAACCTGGAGAGGGGCTTTGGACAAGGGATGGAGGGACAGGACAAGGGGAATGGCTTGAACCTGCCAGAGGGGAGATTGAGATGAGCTCTGAGGCAGAAGCTCTTCCCTGTGAGGGTGCTGAGGCGCTGGCACAGGGTGCCCAGAGAAGCTGTGGCTGCCCCATCCCTGGCAGTGTTCAAGGCCAGGTTGGACACAGGGGCTTGGAGCAACCTGCTCTAGTGGAAGGTGTCCCTGCCCGTGGCAGGGGTTGGAGCTGGAGGAGTGAGACACTTGAAGGTCCCTTTCAAACCAAACCACTCTGGGATTCTATGATTATAAGTAAGCTGGTTGGAATTTGGAGGATAAAAGAGAATAGAAAATAGGGACTGGGCAAACGTGGCAATGAGCAACGTTCACTGAACCAATTCACTGTCTTTCTGCTGTCACCTCTAGCCTGGCAAACAAAGCCTCTGGGAAAGGGCAGCATGTGTGATGCTTCCACAGAGCTGGTTTTCATCCTCCTCTGCTGCAACTCAGCTCTGCTCTTCCCTAATCACACCCCAGAGGAGCAGCTGCCTTTCCCTTAACAGACTTTCCAGGATAAACAACATGCACCCTCCTAAAACATCATTCCTGCATGAGCTTTTTAAATGTGAGAGGAGCCATCAGTGCTAGCAGTCAGCGTGTCCCAGGTGAGAACATTCCTCCTCAGCTGTGGGAGGGAGGGGATCTGGCTGCCATCACTTCCTCATGGAGCAGCTCAGCCCCAGCACTGTGTATGGAGCACACGTGGCTGCGTGTGTGCTGTGAGGGGCTGGATCCTGCTCCCTGCCCAAAGAGGAGCCTCTGGAGAAGTTCTGCAGAAAACTTGGTGGCTTCTGCAGAGGATGCCACAACTTGCCAAGAGACTTTCCCAAGGATTTGCTTACTGGAAGCCTGGTGCTGGGAACAGCCCCAGTAAGGAATCACACTGCATAGAAAGCAGGAAGTTTTATTAATAATAAGAAATGAAACCCAGGGTCCTCGAGCAGCTGGTCCCAGAGAGTCACGCAGGAAACGGGAGCTAAGTAAAGGATTTGATAGCAGATGTATCCTGACAAACAGGAAAAATGAGCCAGGATTAAAGGAATCAATGCTTTACCTCGAGTGACCCCTCGCAGGTTGGCAGTTTCACTGCCCTTTTGTGCTGTGATGGCCACAAAACCAGCAGAGCTGCCCAGCACCACACATCCCTTGGGAGTGGGGACTCCAAGGACAGCTCCAAGGCCAGGCTGTGTCTCGGGCTGCTCATCCCTCCCCTCCACTGCAGGGATGTTTCCCACAGTCTCTTTAGGGGTGAATCACTGGGTGCTTGATTCCAGCTGCATCCTTTGCGTCTCTAAGGCTGCTCCAGGAACAAGCCCTGGGTGAGAAAGTGCATCCAAGCAGCAACTCAAGGGCTGCTGACACTTGAAATCCTAAGAATCCCAGCCTGGTTTGGGCTGGAAAGGACCTTAAGGTCATCCAGCTCCAACCCCTGCCACGGGCAGGGACACCTTCCACTAGAGCAGGTTGCTCCAAGCCCCTGTGTCCAACCTGGCCTTGAACACTGCCAGGGATGGGCCAGCCCCAGCTTCTCTGGGCCCCCTGTGCCAGCGCCTCAGCACCCTCACAGGGAAGAGCTTCTGCCTTATCTCCAACCTGAACTTCCCCTGTTTCAGTTTGAACCCATCACCCCTTGTCCTGTCACTCCAGTCCCTGATGAAGGTCCCTCTCCAGCATCCTTGTAGCCCCCTTTAGACTCTGGAAGCTGCTCTGAGGTCTCCAGCAGCTCCTCTTCTCCAGGCTGAACAGCCCCAATGTTCTCAGCCTGTCTCCACACAGGAGCTGCTCCAGCCCCTGATCGTCCTCGTGGCCTCCTCTGCACTTGCTCCAACAGCTCCGTGTCTTTATGCTGAGGACACCAGAACTGCACCCAGTGCTGCAAGTGGGGTCTCACAGAGCAGAGCAGAAGAGCAGGATCACCTTCAACCTGCTGCTCCTCCTCCTTTTGATGCAGCCTTTCAACAGGGGTGCAGGCTGCTGCTGACCCAAAATGATGCAAAAAGAGTCCTTTTGTGCTGCTGAAGTAGCTGTGCTTTATTTAATCTCCAGCCTGTCCAAGTCTGGGCAAGGCAGAAGGTGCCAGGAACCGAGCAGTGCTCTCACACGTGCAGAGGAGCCCACAGATGAGCCATGACCCCCCCCAACACTCACAGACATCTCTCACCTGACAGCTGCTCTGTGTTCTCCACTTGTGCAGCAGCATGCCTCATCCCTCTCAAAGCACATGTTCCCAATGGAAACATCATGGAAACAATACAGTGTATTCCAGAAACACGGGAGCAGAGCACTCAGGTTATATCCTTGTCCTAACTTTACCTACCTACCTGTCATATCATACCTATCTAGCATTAAAATATCCCCATGAGGCTTCAGGGTTAATGTTGTGTGGAAGCAAAGAGAAGTATCTGTGTCTCAGGGCTACTCTTTGAGGAAGCCTGAATATGTAGATCTATGTTAATGTAGATTTTATACAGCACTTCTCTTCAGCAGAGCTGTAAGAACCAGACAGAGTTTTGTTTCCAGCTGAAAGCACAAGCTTTGGGAAGGTTATTACCAAGCAAGATGTAAGGAAGCACAATCACAGCCACATTGGACGTGGGATCTGCTGGGTGGTGGAGGGAAGCTGAGTGCCAGGTCAACAGGGAGCATTCAAAAGCAACCTCAGTGAGCTGCTCTATCCTGGGCTTTGGGGGTTTCACTCCTTTACACTTCAAAGAGGCTGAAGGGCTCAATTCTTTGCTGTTCTCAGCAATGCCTTGAGCAAAGCAAGTGACCTGGTGGCTGTAGCTTCTGTTCTGGCATCTTGCAGGATTCAGATTTCCCAATTGAAGGGAAAAACAAGAAGTAAGGCTAAAACAAAGCTAAGAGCAGGTGGGTTACACATCCCCAACAACTGAAATGCCCCCTCAACACAGGGATCTGTACCTTTGATTAGTCGATACCACTGTTTGCAGACGAGGGCAGCAGTTTTGTGCTCCTGGTAGGGTGAGAGGAAAGAGAGGATATATTCCAAAACCTCTTCAGGAAGCTCCAGCATTGATCTGTTGTGCCTGGTCTCCTCCACCTCCAGCTCAGTGTGTGGCTCATCTTGCTCCATCGTCCCCTCCACCACAGCATCTTCTGGATCCACAGCCATGAAACCATCATCTTCACTGTCCGAGGAGCTGGCCATGGCATTCCACTTCACAGCTGCAGGAGGGGGGAAAGAGACAACACTGAGCTCACAAGGAAAATTAACAGCACCAGTGGCCCCAGTTGGTTGGTTTGCACTGTGGGGCCAGGCAGTGATGGTGAAAGGGATCCCCATGGAACTGAGAGCAACCTGAGGTGAGACAGGATGGAAGTGACAGCTCTGCAGCCCCTGCTCCCCTGGAAACCAGTTCTGCCAGCGAGGCTGCTCTGCCCTGAGAAGCACATGGGGGGAAATACCCCTGTTCCATTCCCCCTTAACATCCCCTTTTTGTCTTTACTTTTTATAGAATCCCAGCCTGGTTTGGGATTCCTCTGGCCTCACTCCAGCAGCTCCACGTCCCTCTTGTGCTGTTCCCCAGAGCTGGACCAGGGCTGCAGGGGGACAGAACGTATCTTGTTCAACTCTTGCTCAGTTGGTGCTGGCAGCTGGGGAGGGAAGGACACGCTCCCTCCTGTCCCCCAGGATTTACTGCTGCTGTAGGCTGGAATACCAAATCTCGTCCCTCCACCTATTCAGGACATCTGCAGTGTAAGGTAACTCACTGACAGAAATACATCAGGAAACAAATCCACCTTAACCAGAGGCTGAGGCCATCTCCAGCTGGCCCAGCCTGCAGTCATCCCCGTGCTTATCACTGCAGAACAAATCCCTGCACCTTATTTCCTAGGAAGCAGCTGAGCTCTTTTGGGAAGAGCATCGTTTCCCCTTCCCATGCCGCTGGGTGATGGCCATGGGATGGAACAGGATTGCACAGGCACTGATGGCTCAAACCTGAATCACACTCACGAGGATGGCACAGGGATTTTCTCTCCCAGAAACTCCCACCACAAATTCCCTTTGCACCCTTTCCCAGCACAGCAAGTTACACCAAAGGGGTGAACAGCCACGGAAGGGTGAAGTCCACCACATGGTGTTCCATCCAGCCACGCTGGAGCAGGGGGGTTTAACATGAGCCTGCAGGTTGGTCATTCAACATCCCAAGTCACAAAATCACAGAAGAGCTGAGGTTGGAAGGAAGCCCTGGAGAGCATCTGGACCAAGCCCCTGGTGGAGCAGGGCCACCTAGAGCAGGCTGCCTGGACTGTGTCTAGGTGACTCCTGAGTATCTCCAAGGATGGAGATGTCTCTCTCTGGTGACCAGGGACAGAACACAAGAAACAGAATGAAGCTGCTTCAGGGGAAGTTCAGACTGGACCTTAGGGAAAAGTCCACTGAGAGGCTGGTGGGTCTCTGGAACAGGCTCCCCAGGGAAGTTCTCACGGCACCAATGCCGTCAGGGTTCAAGGAGCATCCAGTGATGTTCCTGGTCATATGATTTAGCTTTAGGTAGCCCTGCAAGGAGCAGGGAGTTGGACTCGATGATCATTATGGGTCCCTTCCTGCTCAAGACACAGCTTTTGCCCAACACACTTTGATACGAGGAGGTAGTATCTTGTTTTTACCACACTCTCAGTACCACAGAAAACATGGATGGAAGGAATTTCAGTTATTAGTTGTCAGGAATAAACTAAGCTGTTGTGACAAGCTGCCAGAGGTGCAAACTGCAGGGACTGGAGCGACAGGACAAGGGGTGATGGGTTCAAACTGAAACAGGGGAAGTTCAGGTTGGAGATAAGGCAGAAGCTCTTCCCTGTGAGGGTGCTGAGGCGCCGACGCAGGTGCTCCAGAGAAGCTGTGGCTGCCCCATCCCTGGCAGTGTTCAAGGCCAGGTTGGACACAGGGGCTTGGAGCAACCTGCTCTAGTGGAAGGTGTCCCGGCCCGTGGCAGGGGTTGGAAATGGAGGAGCTTTGAGGTCCCTTCAACCCAACCCAGTCTGGGATTCTCCAATTGCCTTCCCCAGCTAAACCCAGTGTTTTCCCAGCCTGGCATGCACACAAGAGCCATGGGAACAGCAGAGATTCAGAGTGGAAAAGCTTTCCATGACAACTAACTAATGCTCAAAACCTGACATTTGACAGCATTACTCTGCTTTTGTCAGCTCCCTGGTGCAGCAGCTGAGGAAACCCCAGGGCCTGTCAATCTGCAGTGGAAACCACGTCAAAATGAAACTCCCAGTTCCCATCCTGACAGATGCTCCATGTGTCTCCCGTGTCACAAATCCTTCTCTGAGACAATGTTGTGACAGAGAGGGGCTGAAACCGCAACACCCGGCACCAAACTGCATTACACAGCAGATAAAGCACCAGTTCCCAAAGGTTAAGAAATGGAAAACTAAGGGAAAAAGAAGAACAAGTGGAGCTGAGCTAAAAAAAGTGATTAAACCCAGAGTGCTGGGGCTTTTCCAAGCCAAAGCATCCATCACTGTGAAGTGCACGCACTGATTTCCATCCTGACACAGCATGGCGGGAAGCCAAGCTGCCGGCATTCCAGCCTCAGGATGCGGGGAGGTTGGAGGCAGGAGGGTTGGGAAACTGGAGCAGCACATCCACCCGGCAGAGGAGAAGGTGTTTCACACCCTGAGAACATGCTACAAACCCAAATGGAGCCTGTCTGCATCCAGAGCAGATCCAAGGGGACATGTGCGGGTGACAGTGCGGAGCATCAGCCTCTGCTCGCCAGGAGCCCACAGACCTGGTGTGGTGCTGAGGTTTGGAAGCAAAGGTTGTGTGTGATTCCCAACAGCTTTTATGTGCCCTTTAAGTAACATCCCAAATCTGCTGGAGGAGATCAGCTGAGAAGGGCAGGAATGAACTCCCAGCTAGGAAGGGGTTTTCCAATTATTAAATCCCAATTTCAATTCTCTGGAGCAGGTTTGGGAATAACACAAATTCATCACAGGTGTAATCACAGTTTAGGGGTTAGAGCAGCACCTCTAAGGCCAATTTAAAAAGGCAGGAGGAGCAGGAAACCCCTCACTGCCTCAAACTGCACATGACTGAGCACATCACAGAACCCAGCCTGGTTTGTGCTAGAAGGGACCTCAAAGCTCCTCCAGCTCCAACCCCTGCCACGGGCAGGGACACCTTCGCCTAGACCAGGGT